TAGAAATCATACGACAAATGCATGCGAAAATGAAAATAATTAAGTAGAATATTTTTGAACGCATCATAATTGTGTTTGCAGCGTAAGAATGAGGCATCGACACGAAATACTCCTGACATCTTTCGCGAAAAGGCCAGGTGCGAGCTTCAGCTAGGAGCTCCGAGGAATTTGACCCCTCGGGGTCAATTCGTAACCCGTTGCAGGTCCCAAAATTGCTGCGGAGGCCGCGCTTGATCAAGATCCGCCGTTAATCCATCCCGGGGTTAAGGAACACCACTGGTCTTCGTTTTGCCTCGCCTCCGCTCAATTAAATTCTACTTCAGGGAGATTATTTCATAAATCACATCCTGTCCCGAACACACGCGCAGACGTCCCCCTCCCCTCCCATCCATTTTCTCACCCACTTGTTCCTTCACCACATAACAATTTGCCACTATTATTTGAAGGACGAGACAAAGGCAAGATCATTAGGACACATTAATCTGTACAGGATACTAGTGAGAATACTCATCAGTAGATATACATAAAGAAGTTTAACTAGTACGACTTTAACTAGTTTTTATTTTATAAAAGGAAAAATTTTATTTTCATTTCCTTCCTCGCATATTAATCTACAATGAGAATAAAATGTCCCCAGGAGAAAAAATAAAATTCCATCCAAAGTAGACCTGAGAAAACATATATCGAGGCAGGAAATAGCTTTTCTATATATGTAATATCTTTATTTGTTCGCGTCGCGTCACAGAATTCCAGTGCAGAAATTTAGCTCGTCACGCTTGAAGGATAATAAGAGAAGAAATGCACCGGTTATGCAATTCGCGAAAGAAGTAAAGAGCCAGTCGTCCGTGCGAAACAGAAAAAAACCCGCACACTCGCATTCTTGCATACCCATAGATCGATCGCTGCCATGGCACGGTCGAAGGAAAATTCTCCGCGTTTCACGGGTGTTTCGGTCCAATATGGCGGCGGTGATGGCGGCAGTGCCCAGATAATGCCTGACGAGATGTCGCGGTATTTAATTATTTTCACGTTGAAATTTCGCGCTTATGAAACAATCTGCCACCTCTCGCTCTTCACCCTCACGTCACGGCATGGCGGCGGCATTACGGTATCCGGGTAACCGATCCTACGTAACAATTTAATACCATAGTATTTCCAACTGACACCACCTGGCGGTCAGGTATGCACATCAAAGTCTTTATTAGGCCCGATTAAACGTTACTGTGCGGCCCTGCTTGCTCACCATCGTGCAATATCGGCAGAATGTCCGCTTCTCGTTCTCACCTTCAAATGCGTACATTTTAAAGCTTCTATTGTATTGACATTCATTCTTATATCGACATATTCTTCCCTTTTTCTTTTCCATATTTTACAAATATTTAATATATTACTGTATTATTTCGAAGAAAAAATAATATATTTTTTATACTTACTCAACTTCAATGTTCCAAGATTAGACTTGATATTTTTTAATATATCTTTCCAATAATTTTCTCTTTCCTTTACATTTAATTTGATTCAAACTCCTGATATATATTTACTTTATTAAATACAGAAAATAACGAAAGAAAGTGCTATTACAAGTGCAACAACTAGAGAAAACAATTCATTAAAATGTATTTTATGATAACCACATTGAAATATAAATAGAGGTGCGTTTTCTTTTTCAATAATTATAGCAAACGAAACGCTTACCAAAATATACGGAGAAGAAGGAAAACATAGAATTAATAAATCCCAGGAAGAATGTAACATCAGTAACATCATGATCAACTCCTCTGCAATATTTTTTAGACAATCGAACTTTGATTATCCTATATCTCACGTTGTTCCTCCTTTAATTTTGTAATTTTAGCAGATAACTATATCTTGTGATCAAAAACATGATGAAACATGAGGGCCATGATGGCCTTTCTTTATGTTAATTCGTCCCTCATAATTATCTTCATGAGAAACTCTATGTGTCGCAAGCGTATACATGCATCGCATGAATAACATGTAACTGCAATATTTCTAATTACGCTGTTATGTCAAAACTTCGAATTTATTATTTGTCTTTAAAATACTCTTCATACATTTATATTAAAAAAAAATTATATACATATATATAATTTTACATATATAATGAAACAGAACCTCAGTAGCTTTAAAAATATTTAAAAAAAAATCATTGTTTTATTTAAATTCCGAGAGATTCTATTTAATCGTTCATTGTTATAACTCAAACAATTAATAACAGACTTGATAAAATATTTTCAGAATTGGATACGAGCGTATTTTAATTTTACAAAATGAGTTTAACGTAGTTACCATTGATCATTTTGCAATAATTACTTTTCACTCGCGCAGCTCTGAAAATCAGCAACAGAATGAAGATGAATATATCGAGTAGTCCCAGCTAAGAAACGAATGTTGTCGATATGCCGACAAAGCCTTTTCTCGCCACTCACTGTAAGCAACTTTAAAGTAGACGGGGAGTCTTTGTACACGCACGTTCTCGCATACACGCAATGCATCGACGCTGCACCGATATAATTCAATATAATGTAGGGACCAGCGACATTATCTGGTCCGGTGCAGTCAGCTTCGGACTCGGACTTCGATTAATCTCGACTCGATCTCAACGAAGAGCGGATTTATAGTCTCCTCGCACGGCCTTAAGTCCCCCACTTAAATCTGCTTTTTTGACGAACTTGTTTCTTTTTCATGGTAAATTTTCTTTTCACTCTCTTTTTCTCTCGTCAAATCTTCTCCTCACCCCGAGATTCTACTTATTATATCTTTCTATCCTTTATACCGAGGAAAATCGATAGGAACTCGTGCAAATCTTGGGCAAAATTTTTAATCTCATGATCTTCCATCTTTTGATTTTTATGTTTTCATTCTCAATAAAATAATTTCCGAGAAATTAATTTATTAATATCACTTCATTATACTTATATCTGTCGCATTACCAGATTTCTCTATGGTTATGTGGAAATATATGCGAGTTAAATATTCTGATCATTCCTTCTACAATGGCTCTCAAAAAATTATTCGGGGACAATTGTGAATTAAGAAAAACGTTCAACTTTCTCCGATACTCACTTCCTCGATCGACATCGTTCCTCATCAGTCGTACATCTCGCGATCAGAGGATGATTGCATGTCAGACTTCGCGAGCGGAACGGAGGTAATTTTCAACGTGACGAAACGCCGAATTAGGAGTAAATCAGTAATGGACCATGAAATCGAATCTATGAATTCTCATTGCCTCGCATCGTTACGCATTTCGAGTACCGGCGACCGTGCTCAATTGGTAATTACGACAAGGAGACAACCAATGACACCGCCGCACCGGCATGTCCTCCTCCACCTGCGCCAAAATGCATGTCTTTGGACGCACTCGGATATTTTCAAAAGACCGATCGGTGACGACCGTTGTTATTCATTTGCGATCGATTTTTGTATGGATCCACAACCCTCTCTGGGAGGAGGGTTTCACATATGCAGATCCCGATTGCTCGTAGAATCGATTATCCGCAGGCCGATCGTGATCGTGCACGTGATGTTTCACGCGATGCACACTTTAACCCCGGATAAATGAGAGATTCCTGGCTGCCGAGTTGTGGTCTCACCTCAATATACTGGCGATTTCAGATAGTTCATGCCGACCATTTCTTTCTAGCGTACTTACATTTACGACCTTTCTATTATTAAAATGCATTAACGGCGACTTTTAGAGGAAAGCCCCCTACTATGAGATAACGATGTTTCTACTAAACTAATAAACGCTATCTATTGGTTCCATCATGAATTTATTGCTCTTGAATTGAAAACTAGTAGAAAATTCATTATTAGATCATGCCTATAGTCATTGTAGATTTTAGAATTTGGGTGTCTTCAAGTTTCATTGAGATGAGCATTTAAACCTTGTTTATTATTTAATAAATAAATATTTGGCAATAAATTCTTCATGTAGTGATAGAGTAAAATCGTATTAATAGAAAAATACGGGATATGTTAAATTGTTTAATTACAAAAGTTAGATTTGATGAATATGAGATACCCAGGGTATTCATAATATAAAATAACCCATGCTATGTTATAGTGAAAATCGTTGCTAAAGTATAAATGTTATTGTACAATAATAAAATAAGACAACCGGAATGAACGTCGAGTGCCTATATCTGCGATGCTTGATTCCAACTACCTGAAAACGAGTTCTGGTATAATCTATCGCATGTTTATTTTTCGCGCACGCTGGCTGTGTTTGTTCGTATTTTAGCAACATTAAATAAAGTTTCCTAATTGCAATACTGATATACTTTGCGTTTTACTATCGATTTCTCGGGGTATCTCATATTAGGAGCACAATTTTTTGACTTTACGATTTGCTCACTTTTTATATTTCTTTAATTTAAAAAGAAAATGAAATTTGAATTAAATTTTATGTAACGTTATCTTATTAAATTCTTTTCAAAAATAATCTATTATTTTTTTAAATTCTACCTATAGACTTCTAGCATTTACCCAAAATGAACTCGGTATCTCATAATACTTTCTTCTATATATTAAACGAGTTAGTATCGGTAACAAGACCTTTTATTTTTGAATAAATTTCAGGTATACGCTTCATTTTAACGGAATTTTAATTTAAGCCTTACTTATATTTCATATAAAAAATAATTAAGTATTCGCCGAGTAAATATGACGTTAATATTTAACAAGCTGAATAAATTATCTCAAGAGACATTGTGTGAAAAAGAACAAGAAGGAGAAGAATATATAAAAAATAATTAGAAAGTCTGGTTTCTCGAGTACCTCGAGAGTAGCATTCCATCGATAATTATGCAGTATCTTCTGTGTCCGCTTTAAAACGCTTGACTTAAAATCGTCCCTGAATTTCGATCAAAACGCTTGTCTCGATACACACGTCATGTGATCATTTCGGAGGCGCGATAAAAATACGTACAATGTGTACGTTGCAGAGCAACCGTTAAGCATGTCGTCCGACTTACCTGTAAGATCCGTGAATATTGTTGCAGGTACCATGTCTGCACGGGTCCCTCTCACACTCGTCGATGTCGTCCGCGCAATTTGGACCCGTGAAACCATGTGCACACGTACACTCGTAGCTGTCCTCGAGCGAGCGACACCCGGCCCCGTTTCGACAAGGCGACGAGGCGCAGTAATCCTGTCGCTCGCAATGGTCACCTGAAAAAAAAAAGGGACGATGTTGTCCAACGTCTTGCACCGATGCACATTCTCGTTAAGTATAACCGAAAAGTCGCACGGTTTGCAATGTCATATTGAGAGAACTCAAACGCGATTCAATTTAAAACTACGAGTCTGCTCGATATACGTTCACTTATTTTTTTAAGTGATTTCATCTTATTTTATATCTTCGCAAACGGATTTTACTTTAACAAAATTCTAACTCTTTTTAGATACGAAAATATTAAATTAAAACAATAAAATTAAAAGGAGAAATGTCAAATTTTAATATTAATCGGGTTGTCGAAATTAAAAACTATAATAGAGTATATCGGGGAATGAGAGCATCAACACAGCGCGGGAATTGGTGCGCAATAAAATATAATTATCAAGTAATATTTATATAATATAAAAGACGTACAATGATTATTGGTATCACCTTATTTGGACGTTTCAGTTTTTTTCCAAACCAACTTCAGCAAATTCGTAGATACTTTTCGTAGATGTCTTGACAAAATATTGCGACAATGTTGAAATTAAATTCTATGTGAGATACTGAGGATGAGCATATCCCTACTGTCTGGTTGGGAGTTGCCGAAATTTGTCTCTTCCTTGTTTAGTCAAGTGATTAACCTCTATCTCCATAAATCAATTATTCCAAAAGTAGCGAGTTAAATTATAAAAAAGAATAATAACAAGAATTAAAAACTTTGTTTTACATTAAATATATGATATAAAATTGTAACATGCGTTATCCAGATAGAAGTCAGAATAAGTAAAAATAAAAAATTTTCTAATAGTTTTCCTGTTAAATACATGAGTTTAAGAAAATTATTAAAAAAATTATTATAAAAGTATTTTAGATTTTTCATTTTAACATTTTCGATTAATTTCTATACACATTTATTATGTTGAAAACTTCAAAAAATTGAACGTTGAAATGTATAGAATAAGTATTGATCGTGATAACAGAAAACGAGAAAATTATATTATAGTTTCACACAATCAGTATATTAGTTAAATAGAAAATACTTAAGATAAATGTATTGAAATTAATCTAAAGAATTTTATCATTTAATCAGTTTCATATGAGCATTGTTAAATATTACGAGTTAAAAAATCACAGTTATTTCATTAAAATTTATTAAAATGACAAGAGTTTTATATACGTACAAAAAAATTACATTTATTATTTTAATATTCAAAAGATGATTGAGACTTGAAAAACTGCATATTTTCGAGAGCTTGAACATCTATTCGCTAGATTATCAAATTCTTGGAACCTCTACGGTTAGTGCAAAAACGTTAAAATAAAATTTTGTAGACGAAGATCCCAGCGAAGATAAGAATAAATTAACTCGGTATTTCTTGCTGACTAGCATTCGGTCCGCAAGTAGAGATATCTCTTAAGATGGCGGTTAATCCCGGATAGCGGAGCATGTATCTAAGGTAAGCTCTCTCTTTTCCTTTTCTTCTCAGGCTTATTGATTAGTGGAACTAATTACCAGAGTCGCTACTTGTTCTCTTGTGGTCAAGATGTCTTGCTTCTGCGATCTGCGCCGTGTAACGGCTACAACTTTAGCGGTGCTCATTGTTTATAACTCAAATATATTTTAGAAATTTTTCTCTTCTCCGTTCATTCATTAAAGGTCATATATTTCGTATATCGAAATCACGAGTTTAACGAGATTTATATATGTATTTATATGTAATTTATATTCTACAAATTTAAATAAAAATATTTTAAATAAAATTTACATAACTCAATACTTAATTTAAGAAAATTAATTAATATGTGCAACGTCAACCAAAATAAATAGTAATACATACAACGAGCTACTATTATCTTAAAATCGTAAACTGTCTCTCCAAAAATTATTCAGAATTCATTGAAAATACGAAACTGAGCACCAAAAGGTAGCGGCATGATTTCTTCAATTATCTTATAAACTCATATCCTATAAACGCAATTCTTAAATTTATACCTTTTCTTTCTTCTGTTACCTCTTTTTCAATTTTTCATTGTTTTTCTTTTGAAAGTTCACATATTTCTAAATTTATTTATTCGTCAAGCATACTAGCACGTGCTTTAGTAGTGCTTTTATCTTGAAAAACAATTTGTGAGAAAGATATAAACATACCTCAGCATCGACTTCTATGATGTACATAAATTTCATATTGAAATTAAAATAACTCGATATAACGGTTATATCAAATAATCAAGATAACTTATATTTAAAAAATTGATGTAAATTAAGTCTGTTATCTAATATTGGACGCACATAACTACATAAGCGCACACACTTATAGTACACGTAGAATATCTTTTAATAGTTCAATGCAAATTTACAGTTATAACTTAGTCTCGACGTTTCTTTATGACGCGTAGCACAATGCGAACTGGTTAATTGCAACACGTTATCGTCACGTCTATCTATTAACCTTGCTATTCAACCCACACGAATCGATAAGCATATTTAAGTATTCGATGACTAACGCACGATTTATTCATTGTCGGACTTACGCAATTATTCCCCTTTAAGAATCCGCATAGCTTTCCATTAACACCTTTGACAACCGTAACGAGTTAGTTTTGATGATTTTTGATCGGTGCTTAATCATTCACATTAATTCTACGTTAATTTTGCAGCAAATCTTAATATAAAAATATAAAAATATGAACTTTACTGACCTGTGAATCCGATGCTGCACGTGCACACATATTCGTGCAACGATTTAAGATTGCACGTAGCACCGTTGAGGCAGGGCGAAGAGTCACAGGCGTTCTCGATAGGAATTTCGCAGAGGCTGGCAGTAAAACCGACTGGACATGAACATGTGAAGGAAGGTGTGCCACCCCCAATGCCCTCGCGTACCCTGCACGAGCCGCCATTTTGACAGCGCGATCCCGTATAACATGGGTTCAAATGTTGACAGTACTCGCCCACGTATTTTGATGTGCAGCTGAAACGGGATTAAAAGATTACGATTAAAGGATTGATATTTTCTCTCTTTATCATAAATATACGTAGGTACAATAATTTCGAACGGTACATCGATTACACGAGAAAATCTAATTTTATTTCTCTGAAGAAAAAAATTTTGCTTACACTTTTTTCCTATTATAAAATTTTCTTGGTTTGAAAATTTTTTTCCAGACATCGTAAACTTAATTTAAATAAAATTTCTATCAACTAACAGAGTTACAGTAATTTCTTTTTTTCATTACATAAAAAATTATATAAAAAACATATTATTATCACAGAAAGAGGAAAGAATTTTTTGTTAAGGAATTTTAAGAATATTGTAAGATTATGTATTAATTTTTAATTTAGAACGACATTTATATTATTGTATTATGGCATTGAAAATGACTCAATTGGAGTTGAAACGTTTGTTTTATTTTATTGTATTTTTATTGTTTTTGTATTGAGTTTTCTTATTTGAATTATAATTTTTTATATACGTCATTGGTTCTTTGCCCTTCTTTTATACTACCTTTTACATATTATTATATTATTATTATTATATCATATAGTTTATAAAATATCATCTACATAAATTGTATAATTTATAAAATTATACGCTTGTGAACTAAGATATTATTCACCTAAAATCGCTAGTTTTTTCAATTATTGTAAATTATTTTGTAGATTTGTACTCTTAATACTATTTCACAAAGAATATGGCAATTTTAGGGTAAATGGGTTACATTTATCGAATGATAAAACTACCTTATGTGGACATGGCACGTGTTAAACTCAAAAGTGCGTAAACTCGTTTTATAAACGCGCTGTAATTTGTCTTGTGCGTAAGAAGATAACAAAGGTCCTTTCAAAGTAATGAGGATATGCGTGCTACCAATGCGTGAGCTCACCATAAAGGACGTACAGTTGAGAAAAATGTTTATAGTCGGTCAGCGTAAGGAGACGCAAGTTACCTTAAGAGGACCAGTTCCTCTAGGTTCTTTCGCATATCGATGGGACTGTAATGTAAAAGCAATCGATCGCAGCTTACAATATACGTGCTCTTTCCAGTGGTCATTAGAGTCCGTTAGATCATTTTTTGTCGCGAAACGCAGCAATAATTTCCTTATCGAGAAAGCACGATTGTTGATGCCATCATTGAAATAGTATTTGTGCATCTAATCTGTTACTTCGTTAATTCTATGAAGCTTTTAAGTCGACAAACGTTAATAGCGATTGAATATAAAATCGTACAGTATAGTTAAACTTATAATAAGATCCAAAAGTATAAATTACTTGTTCAATACAGAAAATGGGAATAATATGAAATATTTTGAAATGACACATGTTCCGAGAAACATATTGTGGATAAGTTATTCGACAGAAAGAGGTCACGAAAGGTCTTTCTTCGTTTTGAACATGTGTTCTCCTTTTCATGCCATTTCACGCAAACCATGAATTCAACAGGAATTATAAGAGATGAAAGTTTAGATACTTGTTTGGAGAATCTACTGATACATGTAACAGGCCAATCATAAAGCTTGGACCAGAACTTTTCGCCTTCGTGGAAGTCTGAACCGCAATACGCGAGACCCTTTTCGCCTTAGTTCCCCTTGAAATTATCTTACTTATGTCGAAATACTGCTGCTCTTCTTTATCTTTTGTTGCTTTTTTTATTTATAAAATTCATTTACAGAATTCAGAAAAAATATATATCTATCGAAAAGAATCACATTTTTAATGAACTTTTAATTTAAAGTATTTTAAAATAATTTCATAAAATGAATTCTGTAAAAATCAGAATGTTAAAATTTAAAAATAAAAAATTTTAATGTATACTCATTAATCCTCAACTATATCTTAGCGTCCTGTTTGAAGTATAGATTGCAAGAAACTTCATTGTACAACTGAAAAAATGAAGAAAGATCCAAAATCTTTTTTATAATTTCGAACCCCATAGCATCAATTGTATAAACTGTAAAAATTTCGCTTCGGGTTCAAATAACTCGCTTCTCTGTAGTTGAGGTTTTTAAAAATGTATAATCAAATATTCTCTAAGATATTGATTTCAGATATTAATTTCTCTAAAGAGCCAATCTGGACCAAGACTTTTCTAGACTTTATCTAAAAATTCCCTAGACTCAAGTTTCAGCGAAAGATGATTCGTTTATATATGTATACTCATTCTATTGATGCAATCGAGATTATGGTAGCCTTAAGCTGGCGTCAATATATAGAAACGTATCGAGCGCATTGTCCTGCAGCCGCAGCTGCATCGCACCGGGCCTCTTCTCCACTTCTTTCTCCGCTTTCCATCGCGCATGGTTGCTAGAGAGCCACAGCCGGTATCTCTATAAACGGAAACGACGATTCCACGGCCATTACTTGCTCAACAGCGAGCTTCTTGGCCGCCGGTCAGGGCCGACCATCATTGTGTGTCGTGCCATCATTTGGATTTATTGACTTTTACCAATGAATATCCACCCTCTAATCATGAAGACATATAACGAAGCCGCTAATATGAGCAAGCTAAAGTCAGATACAATAAATTTGATGTCTTCGCTCGTGCAATAACAATCTCTTTTATATGCAAGAAATAGAGATGTAAAAATATCGTTAAATTCAATCTTACAATTACTTACGGTAAAATTGCGGTAAAATGGTCATTTATTGGTAATTTTTTGATAAAATTTGTTTCTTATAATTTTATGATGATATATATTTTTTTCTTCTATTTCTATCATTTAATTAATTAATTATTTAATTTATTTAAAATTTAAAATTTAATAATTATAAAATTAAAATCATATAATAGATAAAATTATTTTTAATATCTTGTGATTTTTCAAATTACGTGATCTTTTTCAGTAGGATATAATTTAATCGGAACAAAGCTCACTAAATGTTGTCAATTAATATAAATATAATTAATATATTTTTGTTTGATATGTGATTATATTATTTTTCTTTTTACTCTAAAAACATGACAGTCGCTAAAAAGTAAGCAAATAAAAGTATTATAATAAATTTATAAGGTATAAAAAATATAATATAAGATTATGTACCTGTCACACTTTTTGTTTTAAAAATTAAAAAATTTATTTTAAAAAGTTTTTCTACTTACTACGTAGGTTATAAGTTTAGAAGATAAGAAAAATATAATTAACTTCTTAAATTTTAAGGTTTACTGTACCTGTCACATTTTTTGTTTTAAAAATTTTAATAAAAAGTTAAAGTTTCTCTAGTTACTACGTACCTATATGGTTTCTTAATTATTCTATCAATATGTAATTACGTAGTATCGAAATGAAAATTTAAATTAAACATAATATTATGGAATGTTTTTCAACTTTTTAACTTAATGACTAAATACTTTTAAATCAAATTACTTTCTCTTTATAATTTTTTTAAATTACCATTTTACCAGCCTCCATAAATTGCTGACTAATTTACCGTAAATTGCCGAATAAATTATCGTAAAATTTGGTCATTTTCATCTCTAGCAAGAAATAACCGTCGCGAAAATTTCGTAACGTAATGTATATTTAAAAAAATTGGAATACTGAGTGAAAATAATATACACAAAAATAAAATTCGTAAAATAATCTGTTCTGAACTTCTATAATACGTAAATTGAAAGAGCTGACGCAATCTGTCATGCTGTCGCAAGAACATGAAATGGATATAAATTATTATTTATAGCACGTATATTATGTTTATGTATGGATTTAATTTAAATGTCTGTACATTTTGTACGTATCCACTAATATTTCAAACTTGAATAAGATAGAAGAAAAATATACGTACATGGCGTTAACGCTATTGATATCTAACGTGATAAGCCAGAGATGTCGCGCAAACGAGATTATAATTATCGAAGAATGTCGCAACATACGTACATCCTGCTTCAGGATAATCTTGCAAATATACAGATAAGAATCCTTCTTGTAAGCGCATAGATAAGTACAAATAAGCAAGCGGGCGGACAGATTCGTGTTATGCAAATTATCAGGTCTACATTGCTCTCGATTTGCAATGAGATTACTGCGATTCCGGAAGCATTTTATCAATACGACGCTCCAAAACCAGCCTTCTTTATTTTGCAACTTCAAACCGGTCATCGTAGAAGCCGTGTAAATTGTACGAGCACCAGTGTTTAGCAAACGCAACGCGTAGTTCAACGATAAGATTTGTCAAGAGCTAATTAGCGTGACGTGAGCAGTTTCGCACATATATAAGCGTAAGAAAATGTTTTGCGAGACGAGACTCATTGTCCTTTCGCTAATTGCGACGGTCATCAATTACGGAATTATTTAAGCGCCAGCACGATTGGTATTTCTAGTAATTTGCCAGAACGATAGATCTGTGTATCAAACATACGAGCGTGTGATGAACAATAATAATTTATGTACGTTCTAAAAGATTATTTGATTAATATTGCAAATTTGGAAATTAAGGAACATATTCCTCATTCTTTTAATACCCTTCATGATAAATCTAATACTTATCTCATAAAATTGAAATAATATTATTGAGTATTTTTTTATTTAATCTCTATTTGCAGTGTTTATACTATTTATGTTTTATACATCTTTATACAAATCTTTAGATATATTTTTATACAAGCAATTTTATGTATATCTAATATTTTCTTTTTATATATATATATATATATATATATATACATATCAATTGTATCATTTCATGTTCTTTATGTCTTAATTCTATTTGTTATGTTCCATTACATTATGTTCCATAACATATTTATAATATAAGAAAATTTATGAATACATAATAATATTGGGTCATTTAAAAAGTATCCGCGGTTTTTTCATTCAAAAATCGAACAAAAAACCACGGATACTTTTTAAATGACCTAATATTACGATATTACAATAAAAGGTATTTGTATTGTAAACTTCGTAATATATGAGAATAGGACTGTTAATTATCATGCATTATTCAATAAGAGCTTCATTTTTAGAGTTGCCTAAATAGTCTCTAACAGTGCTAACTAATAACGCAAATAAACCTATCTAAAATCTCCAAAATGCTTCATATTTCTTCGGCAAACACAACGTGGAGTCTATTCGAGTGCATTCTAATTGAGCAAGAAAATACAACTTGTTCAAAAAGAATGAATAAATAAAATTATCATTGTGTCTCCATTCTAAATAATATCTTTATTCAAAAATTTGTATTTTATCGTTGATTTAAAAAGAAAAATGTTTATTTTGCCACCATTAAATTTATATAAAATTCTATTTGAAAATTTTGACGTATAATGCAAACGAAAACGAAAGAATCTTACATCAATTTTAGCTTCATTTCGCATAATAAAAGATTATTGAAACAGTCGTACATTGTGTGATCGAGAACGTGGGAGTGCAAAGTTCCTACTGGCTCCATGCCAATTTCCGCGGTCTCTTCCTAGTTCGCGAACGAAGTTCTTAATTCGTTCACACGATAAATTAATAGATGCGCGAGCTTAGATTACATCAAAAATATAATTCTTCATATTTAATATTTTTAATATTTTTAATAATGTTATTCAGTCAATCAGATAAAGTTTATTCAATGACGTACAATACAATATACAAATTTTTATTCAATTATGTATTTAAAGCAACGACGTTTTCTGCAAAAAGTATAACGAAATTTCTCTAATAAGCTGAGTTAGAAAGTCGATTACACTCGCAACACAAATTATCTGTGGAGCGAAATTAATAAAGCTGGATCGCGCCAGGATATTACACGTGGTGGTCATAGCGCCCAATGTGGCACGTCCGCGTGAAAGATCGATAGTCAAGATTTCCGTGAAGTTATCGCGCAGTATCCGGAAATTAACGGATCGCACGCCGAAATTGCCTCGTAAATTCAAAGGATATTCTCTCGCCCAACTTGTTCCTGTCTCTCCCTTCGCTGTGAGACATGATGGATGATCGTATACGTTTCCCTGCGATCTAAACAGGTATCTGATATTGCGTCGCGTGCGCAATACCTTGGTAGTAAGTATCTTATATCTTTACTAATCTTGGGAGCTTAATTGATGAATAAACGGAGCGATGCGGTGTGGCA